CCCCTGCCTGTCCTTCCGGAACAAGCTGTATCCTTCTATACCAATATTCCAGTTAAATGAATTATCCCACCACGTTTCTAGGATGCCAGTTATGTCGTAATTGATTATTCACGAGTATTTCTAGTTCTTCCTGTTTATTCCCCATACTTCTTAACTTAGTATGCAGATACCTAAGATAGATTTCTCCTCTATTTTGCCTCCTCTCTCCTTCACTCTGCTGTGATTGCCAGGTTTTCCCCAGATTCTGACCCTTCACCCAGGTTTCCAGGTTTTGGAATTACCTGTGGGCTTTTATCTCCTGCCCTAGTCAAACCTAGTTTAAAACCTGTCTCACTAGGTTAGCCAGTCTATATTGGAAGATACTCTTCCCATGTGAAATTTTAATTCATGAATAAAAATATTTAGCTGTCATAGGTCAAAAACGGATCTCCATCTTCCCCTTTTCCTAGGAACTATTAAATAGTTGTAAGTAAAACCCTTTTCCTTGATGCTGAGTGGAACTTGCTCCTAACACAAGGAGAGAGTCCACCTCATGTCCGAGGATTTCCTCTTAAGAGTGGTCCTGGAAGAGGAGCCAAGGTAGTGGTTTTGGAGGAGGTGGAGAAATAAATTTGATGGTGTAGCCAAAGTGCATGATATCTAGTATCCACTTGTCCATTTTGATAGCCCTCAATTTTTAGGCAAAGTAAGGTAGGCAGTAATCAAAGGGGAATTTGGAAACAGGTGCAGATTACATCATTGTTTGGTCGCAACTCTTGAGAGTCCCAGTCATGCAAATCTCCCCACCAGGTTTCAGTAATACCAACGAGGTCAAATTTATGCTCATAAAGAGCAATTCCTGTTATTCTTGTTTATTACGAAGGCAACTAGCACTGGTGTATAGGCAATTACAGTTACTTGATTAGTCTATAAATACCTACATAGGAAGAAGATATCAGACATAAGGAGGCGCTTTAATCTAGCAGCAATAACAAGATCCAATGGATAGAAGTTGAAGTTAAAAACTTGTCCCTGGGTTAAACAGGGCTTCAGGGTAGGAATATCACTTCATTTCTTTAAAGCTGACAGCATGTTGCACACGCTGTTCCATTCAATCATAAAGATGACCAAAGAATTGGATTCTCTGTACTTTATGTGCTATGCATAATTTGTTCACAGATTAATTAAATTACAAATGAATTCTGCTACTTATCTAAAATGCTGCTTTTCTAAAATGTGAACACTAACATTTCTTCAATATAGTACGTCTCGTCAATGTCAATTACGAGCAATCCAAATGCGTAGGAAAATATCTTTAATAGAAGGCATCTTTGTTATAACATAGTTAACACGCTACATTTTAAAATAAGGTAATTTTGTACTGTATAGATGTAAGGAGAGTCTGGATGAGCTCTCCCCTGACATCTAGTGGTGAGCTGTGGAAAAAGTCTTAAGAAGCTGATCTCATTTGCGTGGACACACCAACCCTGCCTAGGTGCTCAGCATAATGGGACTGCTTGCCCAAATGATCACTTGTGGCTGGAGTTGGATCCCCAGGCTCCTTGTTATTCGGGCAGGAGTAATAAAGGGTTGTTATCCTTGTTGTGTGAACCAACGACAGCAGAACTGTACCTGGCATACCGCAATGGAGGGACTCGCCCTCAACTGAACAGCACTCGCTAGGCAAGGGGCATGGGTTACAAAGCCCAATGTACCTGGTGGTGTGGGCCTGGTTTAATGGTCCTAGACACCATTAGACCCTTCCTCTCTCCATGGTATAATAAAAGAGCTAATTTAGACTCAATTGAGAGTCTTGTTACATGCTGCAGAGCTGAAATCACTGCTACCTAGGTCTAAGTATTTGACCTACTTTGGGACAGTGTCTCTATTGCAAGAGACTGTCCAGTGTGCACCAGCAGTGAGGCTACCCCACTAACAGCTGATATCATTGAGAGCTGAAATCACTGAGAACATAAGAACGGCCCTACTGGATCAGACCAAAGGCCCATCTAGTCCAGTATCCTGTCTTCTAACAGTGGCCCATGCCAGGTGCCCCAGAGGGAATGAACAGCACAGGTAATCATCAAGTGATTTATCACTCATTCCCAGCTTCTGGCAAACAGAGGCTAGGGACATCATTCCTGCCCATCCTGGCTAATAGCCATGGACCTATCCTCCATGAATTTATCTAGTTCTTTTTGGAACCCTGTTATGGTCATGACCTTCACAACATCCTCTGGCAAGGAGTTCCACAGGTTGACTGTGCATTGTGTGAAGAAATACTTCCTTTTATTTGTTTTAAACCTGCTGCCTATTAATTTCATTTGGTGACCCCTAGCTCTTGTTTTATGAAAAGTAAACAACACTTCTCGTGACAGTGGACGAGAAGCTGGATATGAGTCAGCAGTGTGCCCTTGTTGCCAAGAAGGCCAATGGCATTTTGGGATGTATAAGTAGGGGCATAGCGAGCAGATCGAGGGACGTGATCGTTCCCCTCTATTCGACATTGGTGAGGCCTCATCTGGAGTACTGTGTCCAGTTTTGGGCCCCACACTTCAAGAAGGATGTGGATAAATTGGAGAGAGTCCAGCGAAGGGCAACAAAAATGATTAGGGGTCTGGAACACATGAGTTATGAGGAGAGGCTGAGGGAGCTGGGATTGTTTAGCCTGCAGAAGAGAAGAATGAGGGGGGATTTGATAGCTGCTTTCAACTACCTGAAAGGGGGTTCCAAAGAGGATGGCTCTAGACTGTTCTCAATGGTAGCAGATGACAGAACGAGGAGTAATGGTCTCAAGTTGCAGTGGGGGAGGTTTAGATTGGATATTAGGAAAAACTTTTTCACTAAGAGGGTGGTGAAACACTGGAATGCGTTACCTAGGGAGGTGGTAGAATCTCCTTCCTTAGAGGTTTTTAAGGTCAGGCTTGACAAAGCCCTGGCTGGGATGATTTAACTGGGATTTGGTCCTGCTTCGAGCAGGGGGTTGGACTAGATGACCTTCTGGGGTCCCTTCCAACCCTTATATTCTATGATTCTATGTTTCCTTATACACTTTCTCTACACCAGTCATGATTTTATAGACCTCAATCATGTCTCCCCTTAGCAGTCTCTTTTCCAAGCTGAAAAGTCCCAGTCTTATTAATCTCTCCTCATTCGAAAGCCGTTCCATACCCCTAATCATTTTGTTGCCCTTTTCTGAACCTTTTCCAATTCCAATATATCTTTTTTGAGATGGGGTGACCACATCTGCACACAACATTCAAGATGTGGGAGTACCATGTATTTATATAGAGGCAACATGATATTTTCTGTCCTATTATATATCCCCTTCTTAATTATTCCCAGCATTCTATTTGCTTTTTTGACTGCCACTGCACATCGAGTGAATGTTTTCAGAGAACTATCCACAATGACTCCAAGATCTCTTTCTTGAGTGGTAAGAGCTAATTTGGACCCCATCATTTTATATGTATAGTTGGGATTATGCTTTCCAATGTGCATTACTTTGCATTTATCAACATTAAATTTCATCTGCCATTTTGTTGCCCAGTCACCCAGTTTTGAGACATCCTTTTGTAACTCTTCGCAGTCTGCCTGGGTCTTAACTATCTTTAGTAATTTTGTATCATCTGCAAATTTTGCCACCTCACTGTTTACCCCTTTTTCCAGATCATTTATGAATATGTTGAATAGGACAGGTCCCAGAACAGATCCCTGGGGGACACCACTATTTACCTCTCTCCATTCTGAAAACTGACCATTTATACCTGCGCTTTGTTTCCTGTCTTTTAACCAGTTACCAATCGACGAGAGTACCTTCCCTCTGATCCTGTGGCAGCTTACTCTGCATAAGAGCCTTTGGTGAGGGAACTTGTCAAAGGCTTTCTGAAAATCTAAGTACACTATATCCACTGGATCCCCTTGGTCCACATGCTTGACCCCCTAAAAGAATTCTAGTAGATTGGTGAGGCATGATTTCCCTTTAACAAAATAAAACCTGAGAGCTATATTAAGTGTGGGGGGGGGGGCTGAAGACATCTTGGCAAGCAGGCAGCTGGGAGAGAGGCACGACGAGCAGGGCAGCTGGCGGAGAGGCGAGGCAAGCAGCCAGCAGGGCGGCTGGCAGAGAGGCGAGGCAAGCGGCCAGCAGGGCGGCTGGCGGAGAGGGCCAGAGCAGAGCCCTGCAGAGGCGTGGCAATCGGCTGTTGTGGCGATGAGCGAGTGCCCGAGCAATGCAGTGTCTAAGGTGCCTCCTTACCCCGCCTTCCACACAGGGTGGGAGGTGAACTCTGTGGATGAACCTCTGAACTCTGGGGCTGCACTGGCCAAGGACAGCAACTGTGAGTGGGGTACAGAGAAGGGATGGGCACGTTAAAGGGACTTTTGGGTTGCTGGACTTAAGACCGTGAGAGGAAAAGGACACTGCCCAACTTACTTGGGGGTGGGTCTTTTGCTCTTGGTTTGTGTTTATGAACCTTAGTTGTGGTGTTTTCCGAAATTAATGCTAAGTTAATTCCCTCCTTTTATTAAAAGTTTTTGCTACACTCAGACTCTGTGCTTGTGAAATGGGAAGTACTGCCTCTTATTGGTGCCCAGGGGGTGGTGTGTAATTGTCCCAGGTCACTGGGTGGGCACTTGAGCTGGTTTTGTATTGTATTGTTGAAAAGAAACCAAAAGATACTGAACCTAGCCCTTGTTGCTGCTGGCTCCGCATGGCAGAAGGGTTACATATATAGTCTCTAAAATGTCTTTCTGGGGAAAAGTCTGCATTAAGATAGATTACATTTGTCTCGATCCTGTCATACATCATCAGCATACATAGTAACTGTCATACAATTAATTTTTTTGAACATTTACTCACAATAAACCATACCACCATTTGCACAGAGGAATAACTGGGAAAAAATGCTTGTATGAAATCCGTTTTAATCTTGCAAATGTGTATAAACAATGGGATAAAAAAACTTTAAAAAACTTTGAGACATCACACAGGTTCTCTGAATAATTTTTTTTAAACCTACCTGAGAGACTCTGCCATCCGCCTTAAGTCTTCATTTTGCTGTTTTAAACGTTCAAGCTTTGCAAGTATCTTGGATAGTTCACGGCTGGAGTGATCTGGGTGTTCATTGTCTCGTACCAAGTGTCCGCCTATATAAAATAGCAAGGTCCCCCAGGCAAAGAGGATGAGCATAATCCAACGCCAGGAACCAGTCCATGGCCGCATTTTCATATGCTCAGTTCACTGCAAAACTGTTTTAGCTCACAAAATAAACATTGTAATTCCTTAGTCTCTACAAAGATGGACAACTTCTGTTCCTCTGTTTCACCACATTATGCTTAAGACAAATTATAATCAGTGTTAGTCCTACAGCAATTCTTTGAGAGAGATCCTTATAATGTTGTATGTAGAAAGCTTTAGTATCACGTGCTTCTTCGTTTTATATTCTGTAAAAAGAATAAAACAAGTGTAATTAAGTAACATGACTTGTAAATAATCGAATATATTGGACTGCAATTAAAGTAAATGTACATGCAAGAAAACGGGCAGATAAGATTTCTACCCCTTCATCAACTAAGGAAAGAAAACCTCTTAAGTTTTCACACTAAATCTACTGTGTTTATTAGAAATATGCCATGTGATAAAACAATCAGCTCCAGAACTAAAACAACACAAAGCATCATCAGCTCTTCCAAATAATAATGCTCACTAATTTGTCCAATACCATTTCACACACTACAAAGGGTTAAGTCATTGGTTTATCAATAAATCAGAATAGGCATTCTGCAGTAAATTTTGTATTATCTCAAATGGAAATGTAAGCATAGCTATTATTCAATTATACTATTTTTTCATCATCTATCCTTTCTCATTTTTATGAGCTCTCACTACTAGCTATCATTATTGTACTTGCCTTAGTACACAAGAGGTGGGTTGCCATTTTTATATTAGACTACACTACTGACATGTAGATTGGCCAAGCAGCATCTATAACAGCAATTAAGCAGCTCACAAGCACTCCAAAGACTATAAGCAATAATTTATAAAATAACTATCCTCCATATGCATTCATCCTTAACTAGGTCTGTATTCTCAATAAATGTGGCAAGTTGCCTTCTCCCCTATAAAATATCTCATGTGCTTTGTATGAGCATAACAGGTCAACCTGCACTGGCTTCAAGTATGGAAATGTAAAATTAAACTACAAATTTTTATTTCTCATTTAAACTGCAACACAATCCAGCTTCATTATTAGGCCCTCCAATACTATTCACAAATGTTTCCTACAAAGAAACACTGAACTTTCAAAGGGGGTGGGGGGGACACTTCAAACAAATTAACACCCTATAGTTAAGCACAGAGGGAAACCACACCTGGTTCCAGACAGAAAGAAAAAAAGAAAAATCAGCTAAGTTTTTGAATGGTGTGAAGAATGCATAAGTACTTCATGTAATGCTAAAACATATGCAATGATGCATACCCACATATCTCCAAACAAAACCAGGTTTATGAAGCCAGTTCAAATTGTTAAAACTCATGTTTATTTATATACGAGTTACATATGCAACTGTTAAAACCAAATTAAAAAGTACTACATTTGACATAAAAAGACCAAAACAATTTTATCCAAAGTGACCTTTTTAAAACATCTCTCAGTTAATTTTCTGCTTAGCAAAATACATAACCTCCTGGTTCTAACAATTTCCTTTATCTCACTGTATCCAGAACTGATATTTTAAAGTACTAATTAATAAGAAAGGCACACAATCATCTAACCCCCCGTGTTACTCTTTCTTCCTTGTCTGCAACTGAAAATTTGTGCAGATTGTCAGGAATCAGTATTTCCTATGCAGTTGGGAGTTTTCTTTTGCCCTCCTTTCAAGTCTGTAAATCTGTCATCTAAACTAAAGCACTCTGAAACATTTCTCTAAACTCTTTTTTTACCTTCCTTCGATGATGGTCTCCTTGTGGCTCTACCAACTTCAAGGGAAAAGTCACCATTCTAAGTTGAAAGGAATGTTTTTTTCTACCATGCAATAACCTACATACTCATCCAGTAACAAAGGATATGTGGACAGCATTGGCTTCCAGATCCATGAAATTCAAGGTAACATGAAAATTACTAACTGCCACCAAAACCTGACAGAGCTTTCTCACCTTTTTTGAGAGTGTGGCTCAAAACCTTCATCTCAGACAACCAGCAGATGGCAGATCTGGACATACAGGATTAATAGTCAGTAGATAACAACTGAGTAACACTTAAATGAAAAAGATTTCTAGTAACCCTCTCAGCCTTTGTATCTAAGGGGTCTTTGGTGAGACAAATCAATGTGCAGATCAGTTTTCCTTGAACAAGACAATTTCAGAATCGCACATTAGGAGCCCATAATTTTCTAAACATTTCTAAGGCAACTTTATATATGTATTTTTTGTTCTGTCATGGCAAAAAGCAAATTGCATCTGGGGAGACATAGGCTGCTTCCACAAGCTTTTGGTTGTTCCTCCTTAGTAAGAGTGAATCAATAGGGTCCAGTTTCTGTTCTGGTCCTTCAAACCTTATAGCTGCAAAGACATTCTTAAAGCAGTCCTACAATACTATATTAATTATTTTTATTACTGTAGTGCCTAGGAGCACTAGTCATGGATCATGACCCAATTGTGCTAGGCTCTGTACAAACCCAGAACAAAAAGATGGTCCCCTACCCCCCAAACAGTTCACAATCCAAGTATAGAATCATAGAATATTAGGGTTGGAAGAGACCTCAGGAGATCATCTAATCCAATCGCCTGCTCAAAGCAGGACCAACACCAACTAAATCATCCCAGCCAAGGCTTTGTCAAGCCGGGCCTTAAAAACCCTCTAAGGAAGGAGGTTCCACCACCTCCCTAGGTAACCCATTCCAGTGCTTTACCACCCTCCTAGTGAAAAAGTGTTTCCTAATATCCAACCTAGAGACCTCCCCCACAGCAACTTGAGACCATTGCTTCTTGTGCTGTCATCTGCCACCACTGAGAACAGCCTAGTTCCACCCTCTTTGGAACCCCCATTCAGATAATTGAAGGCAGCCATCAAATCCCCCCTCACTCTTCTCTTCTGCAGACTAAATAACCCCAGTTCCCTCAGCCTCTCCTCATAAGTCATGTGCCCCAGCCCCCTAATAATTTTTGTTGCCCTCCGCTGTACTCTCTCCAATTTGTCCACATCCCTTCTGTAGTGGGGGGACTAAAACTGGACGCAATACTCCAGCTGCGGCCTCACCAGTGCCAAATAGAGGAGAATAATCACTTCTCTCGATCTGCTGGCAATGCTCCTACTAATATAGCCCAATATGCCATTGACCTTCTTGGCAACGAGAGCACACTGCTGATTCATATCCAGCCTCCCATCTACTGTAATCCCCAGGTCCTTTTCTGCAGAACTGCTGCTTAGCCAGTCGGTCCCCAGCATGGGTGCATGGGATTCTTCCTTCCTAAGTGCAGAACTCTGCACTTGTCCTTGTTGAACCTCATCAGATTTCTTTTGGCCCAACCTCCAATTTGTCTAGGTCTCTCCAGACCCTATCCCTACCCTCGATCGTATGGAGGACAAGAGACAACAGAGTACAAGGATAGACAGAATATAAGGAAATAATGAGACAATATCGGTCAGCATCCTAGGCAATGGTCTCAACGCACCAGGAGCCTAACCATTGTCAATATTTTTTTTTTGCAGGCAACATGGCAAGAGTGAGTTTTCAGAAGGGCTTCAAAGGAGGAGTAGGAGGCAACTTTGTGGTTGTTTATAGGGAACTCCTTCCAAGCATGAGGAACATCACAGAAGAAAGCACAAAGGTATTTGTTTGAAAGTGTAATAAGAGGGTGATGGAGGCTGGCATTATGGGCCAATAGGAGGTAGAAGTTGACTTCTCAATAGCAAATGAAAGGCAATAGTAGAGCAGGGACAGACTATGAAGACTGAGTCTGCGGCTGTGCTTCAGCCTCTGAGTATGACAACACTTAATTCTCCTCCTCAGAAGGGTACTCTGGGGGCACGTGTACACTACACAGAAAGTTCTTAATTCACATTATACAACACCTTAGCTAAATCAGATTAAAGCAGCAATGAAGGTACAGAAACTTGTCTTTGAACTTGAGTTAGCAGCTTGAGTTCAAGTCTATAGGGCAGCCTGGGGTTGAACTCAAGCTGCTAACTAGAGATAAAAGCTGAGCTGCTGAGTCTTCATTGTTTGCAGGGTAGACAGACCCCACAGAAAGCTGGCTGCCAAACAAAAGAGCAAAGAGTCTAAGGAAGTACCAGTTGGAGCTTGATTGCCTGAGTTTTCAGAGCTGAAACAAATATATCTCTTTGAACTGTCAAGCAAGTTTCTAAAGAAACCTGGGCAGATTTTTCTTTATAGAGGAGCAAAAGGAACTTTGAAAAACTTCAGCCTCCATGAAAAAACATGTTAGCACAGTTAATGGCTTCTAAGATCAAGGATATGGACTGAAAGAAAACTCTAGGAGAACCATCCACCGCTGCTGCCTGACCCAAACTTATACAATCAAAATTATCATCTGGCCTTGTGCTGCTTTTTTTTACCCCACATCACCTCCACCTCAAGTTACTCAGAGGAACAGGAAGAAATGCACATAGCAGAGAATACTGCTCCCACTCAAGAAGAAAGCATCCATGAGAGAAAGTTTGTCCATTCATGCTCTGGAGCACAATTTCAGGCATTTTATATTGATACTAGTTGCAAACCAGTGGATTCAGTGGCCACTCACACTGATCCTGAAGAATACAATTCAGTTTGTCTACATGAATTTTCTCCTTGCTGGCCAAATCAAGGACAATAGGATAAAAATGATGAGCTATGTACTGGTCCCAGAGAGTTATTGTGTCCCAGTAAAAAGGCTTGGGGGCTTCTACTTGTCTATCTAAAAGAAACATGGCTTTAGTGCTGTCTGTAAGAATTTGAACCACACTGCCTCTGATTTGAGAGAAATTATTTGAGGTCTCAGCTAACATATTACAGCTCCAAATCATTTATAAGCAGTTTCTCCTCCCCTATGCTCCAATGACCATGCACTGTGAAGGATCCCCAGCCCAGTTTGGAGTCTTCTGTGATAATTACAGTTGATGGTGACAGAGGAGTGAAGACCTTGTCTCTGAGCAAGTGATCACCAATTCCCATCACTCTAGAAACTCAAGGACCTGTGTCAGGTAAGCAGACATATCATCAACATTAGGAGTAAAGTTCTGAGCTAGACAAAAGTGGAAGACCTCATCCAAAGGTGGACATAAAGTGTCACATATGGTGAGGATGCCATGAGGCCTATCAGATGGAGGAAGAACCTCATTGTCTGACACAGGTTTTCATGTAAGGTAAATAGGCCTTATGACACATTCAAAAAACTCTCCTCTAGAGGGGAAAAAAAAGAAAAAAGAAAAAAGAAAAAGACATGA